TATATATATATATATATAAACTGTTACTATGGAACATGCAAAGTACCGAGACAAAAATACATATTTGTTTCGACGTCGAAAGACTTTGCAGATGATGGTACTTTTAACTAATTTAAATTCCAATATATATATATATATATATATATATATATATATATATATATTATAAACTGTTACTATGGAACATACAAAGTACCGAGACAAAAATACATATTTGTTTCGACGTCGAAAAGACGTCTCGTCTTTGCATGTACCATTGTAACAGTTTATAATAAATATTTATTACTCTACTTCGTGTATTGAGCCCTTTTTTAAATTAATGCTATGAACGTTTGAATTTATATTCTTTGGGTTCTTTTACATTTGGATATAGATATGTGTGTTTGTGTGTGTTTTCTTTTAATGCTATTCTTGGTAGAAATATACGCTTACCTGCCAAAGATCACGCTACAGGTGCATTATATCGTGTAGAATCATCTGTTGCCCGAGAATAGGAAAAAGTTCAACGTATCATCGATTCTACTTAGATGGCTGCACGGTTTTTGGGGCGATGCCGTAACATGGCGTCTAGATAGTCATCCCTAATATTTTTAAGTACAGAACCCTCCCCATCTTAAAATATTGTTAATGCTCCCATGTGTATCTGCGCCATACATGAATCCTATCATCAACCAGAGACAACTGGAACCTTCTCTAATCACACATCACACGTTGACACTCCTCTGAGTCAAAATGGCAACTTCCAGTGTCTCGGGATTAACAGGGTCACCCTGGTGACTCTTCTGTTCTATGACAGCTAAAGAAAGCTGATCTGAACTGCTGCATACGCTTTTCGTTCTCTATACTTTGAATGTCGATGTGATTTGAGACTGTCTGCAGAAAGTTAAGGAAGACATTTCTAGCCAAACATTTCTGTTTGCGATCATTAAGGACGTGTGGTCGATGAGTACGCTGAGTACGCTGGGCTATAATGCCTTCCCGTGACAGTGTACCACGATGGGCGATACTGACTTCACACGTGACACTGTACCACGACGTATTACAAATGCTCATAAAATTCAAGATGGAATATCTCATCCGTCTGGAATCCAGTGTCATGACCTGTTCGAACATTGATAATTCACGTCTTATAAGCAGACTACAACTGATATAGATCTGGGCATTCCCATGCACCATCTAGGTATGGCGGTGCCACCAACCACTACCTTTACATACCGCTATATCATGACTTTTGGCACGTCAATGTCTTGTTTATTCCACTCTAAATTCATTACGTAAATATCAACGGGCTTTTTCAGATGGTCTCCCTTTTTAAACACATTTCTATCGGTAACGCAGTATTGGGCTAAGAAATATACTGTGAAAAAATTATTGTCATTGTGCTTTTGTTTCGGGGTTTTTCGAGCGAGTTGTCCGTGCATATGAACAGTTGCTTACAACATATAAATATGTTACAATACAAAGAAAACAGTTGTCATTTATTTATTTTTATTTTTATTTATTTATTTTTTTTTTTTTTTTGCCTGCATCAGATTAACGGCATTAATTTAATTTGAACAAAGAGATTAAACCTTGTTATATTATTTAGTCGGCCTTCTACACTGACAATATAATACGGTAAGAAAAACTGATGTGGGTATAAATAAAATTACGTATATTTTATTTACGCAGAAATTTAACAGAAACAAGAGAATAGCTTTACAAATTAGGAAATTTATACACAAGTTAAATTGAAGTAATTACTTAAATTGCTTAAGTCAAGGTACAGCAGCCAATGATTAAGGAAATTTTTTTTGGAAAGATAAATATTCCCAGGAATAAGAAATAGCTTTTGGTCGTCTCTAATAAAAATGAATGAATAAAATGTAAATGTAAATTCAATAACGTTGACATGCGTGAAATATATTAGTAAAAATGATGAGTATATTGATTCAGAAGCTTAGCATAAAAAGTAACAATAATAAGGTGCAATAAAATTGCTGGCGAAATAAAATTAATAATAATAATGATAATAATAATAATAATAATAATAATGAAATTAATAATAATAATGATGAGTGTATTGACAAAATGTATAAAAGTAACAATGAAATGTAATAATGAATAGTGTATAGAACCAGAATGTTGGGATAAAAAGCAACAATAATAGGAATAGGAATAATGAAGATTGATTTGTTTTTTACGGTTTATCAACTTTTTAAGGTTATTTAAAGTCAGAAAATACTTTTTAGTGTGTATGAATATTTTGGAAATAATTATTTTACTGATACAAGTCGTACAAATTGACCCATGGTTGTTTGTAGAGGTAGTGTATTCATACTTTTCTGAAATTGAAACTTAGTTCCAATCCCACGCTCCTTATCCTTTGCTCCATTCGAGCTTCCAAACTTACAGCATCTATATTCCCAAACGGTTATCCATCTTGGTACTAACCAGGTCCCGCGTTGCTTAACTTCACCGAACGCACGAGAGCTGGTGTTTTAACATGATATGGTCGTAACCAGTAATAATGAAGTATTGAGATAAATAGCAATAGTAATACGATGGTGTTTTATTATATTAAAACTGTTGAACCCATAGCTGGGGAGACATGTTTTATTTGCGGATCCACTCAAACGAACGGAATATAGACGGGTTTAAATATTAAATTTCAAGCGAACATGGAATTAGTCGCAATAATTGTCAAGCCATTTAAAAATTTCATTTAATAGGTAATATAGACAATGAACGTTTTCTGCAATGGGAGACGTTGCTCTCTGGAACAGACACGTTGAATTTGTGCCTCAAGCCACTGAAATACAATGCAATATTTATTAAGCTTCGTTTAGTTTGGGACATGGCTAAAACCGCGGGGCTTTCAATGAACTTTAAGAAACAGAAACGGTAGTGCCGGATGAAACTATTATACGGACATTAATATGATTTTTAAAGGGGCCCTAAATTAAAAAACATGTGCAAATAAATATAAATTTAAAAATTATGTACTAGCATAATGATGCGATTTATAAAACAGTTAAATATTTAATTTCTATCAGCATAATAAACAAAACCAGAACAATGTGAAGTAAATGATATCAAGGATAGGTTTGTGCGGCTATCAAACATTGACCTCATTTAAAGTGAATGAAATATACGACAACATCAAATTTCAAATAAAACACAAATAACTTCGTATAAAACACTTATATATATATATATATATATATATATATATATATATATATATATATATATATATTTTTGGTTGGAGAGATGTGAGTTTGTGACCCTGGGTTTCACGCATTAGCGATCGTCAGACAAACTGATTAATTTTTTTTTTTTAAATTTGGGTTTATGTAGATTGCGTGTATTGGTGTTATTGTGGAAATGGTGGGGGAAACTTTGACACTTATGTCAGTGTACTAACGCAAACATCGATGTATGCAAACACATATACATACTTGGTCGTCCCTCGAGACTCATACATATATAAACATATGTGGGCAGTTTTGGATACGACATATGTATGTATACGGGTGGTGTTGTGTCTATAATAATTATACATATATATATTTATTTATATTTATATACACTTTTCATATATATATATATATATATATATATATATATATATATATATATATATATATATATATATATATATATGTTCGAAATTCTTAATACAGGATTAGCATGTATCTATTTGCAAAAGACTAGGTACCAAAAACAATATGAATTTTATACTTATTTGTTTAGTTTGTTACGAACCTGAAATGTGTGCGTCCTGTTTCTATAACTTCACGGAACAAAACGAGAAAGATTGAATTTCCCGCCTAACGATGTCTCGTGCGGGTCTCGTCAGGTCACATGCCTGTTTTTTTTATTATTCTTTATTTGTGTTTGTTTGTTGTGTGTGTGTGTGTGTGTGTGTGTGTGTGTGTGTGTGTGTGTGTGTGTGTTATGTGTGTAGATGTGATAGATAGATAGATAGATAGATAGATAGATGTTGTTATAGAAAAATGTTGTTATTAAATTATTATTATTTCGTCGGAGTCGCCGAATATTTGACTATCAAAATGTAATTATTATTTTTTATTTTTTTGTCGTAGTCACCAAATATGTTGTGCAGGATATGAATCATCGACCTCTTTTAAAGTGAATGAAATAAATATCAACATAAATATATGAAAAGTACAAACAAAATTCAAAAGTCTTCGTATAAAAAACACACACACACACACAGGTATTATTTGCGTATCACTTTTAGATTCAACGTGTTGTTTTAATCTATCTAGTTACCTTATTAAAGCTAATAGGAGGCAATCCGATAAAGTGAATAGCAGATTTAGTATGTCTCTGAATTTTGCTTTTCTGGCATATTTGATATTCATTACACATTTCTTTGATTGTCTTGTCCATATGAGGCCAAAAAATCTTGTTTTGATAAACTTACATTGAGATTTTAATTCCTGGGTGTGATATTGCTTGAACACTATCGAAAATAGATTTTCATAATTCACCAGGTATATATAGTCTGGGAACACCGGTAGCATTATCACTGAATATGGTATGATTATTATCAGTACTAGATTGTATTTTTTAAGTCTGGAATTTTTTATAACTCAGGGTCCTTAAGTTGTACAGCAGCTATAGTCACACAGATCTATCATAATTGCTATGGTAGGTCGAGACAATCAAATGGCTACAACGATTTGTTCCTACTTTATAAGGCCTATATCTGATATATATTCTGCGAGAATTGTTAATTGCCGTGTCTATCTGACTTAGCAGGGTTTAGACTACGGAATGCGCCACACGTAAATGGTTATCAGTTAATAATACAACTTGTTTTCCTAAGATAATAGGTTTAAAATATAACGTAGCCGAATATGCTGGTAAAAGCTCCTTATCAAAAGTTGAATATCTTGTTTGAGTTTGAATTAACTTTTTAGAAAAAAAGCTCACTGCAATTGGTGCTCCTATAATTTGATGTAGGGCTGCACCAATTACATAATTATTGCTATCAGTAATCAACTGATATTCAATAAACTCAGACCGTTAGACATTTAACATAAATGTAGTATCACTGCATATCCGTATTTTTTCTGTTAATGGCAGGAATATGTCTGCAACGTTTGTGGATTAATTTTCTATAAAAATTTACCATACCTAAGAAACGAAAAAGATTCTTACTCTCCTTAAGAGGGGGGAAATTCTGTAATGCACAAATATTATTTTGTATAGGTCTAATCACATCAGAGCTAATATTATAACCCCAAAAATCGACTTAATTCACATGTTGGCTTTGTGATTGAAATTTTTACATTATTACCGTGTAGGATTTTCATGACAGTTTCAACGTCTTTTATGTGTGCTGAAGAGTCATCGCTGAACATAAGAATATAGTTAATGTATTTAAATACACAGTCAATATGTTGAAAGGTCTTGTCAATGTATCTTTGAAAAGTAGATGCTATATTCTTTCGTCTAAACGGCATGTAATTTTATTCGTGCAATCCGAGAGAAGAAATAAGTGTTATTTTTTATATCATTTGGGTGTATTTTGATTTGATGATATGCTGATACCAGGTTAATTTTGCTAAAACTTCTTTTGCCGGATAGTTTATCAGCAATTGGATTAATGCGTGTTATCACTTTTTGTCAGTCAGTTATGCGCCATGCGGGATATACGTTTAGGCGATCATGTATCTTTTGATACATGACGAGGCAGATTTTTTCCCGCGGTAGGTTGCCATTTCTTTCTACTGTAGACCAGTTGCCATCCAAGACTATAGAACCCGATCTGTTTTGCTATTTAGCCTTAGCTGGGAGGAGCAGAAGATGATTCATAGCTTTCCAAAGGGTATTAGCACGTAAACGAATGTAATGGATTTGACTGGAATTCGAACTCGGCTCTCCGATTCCTCAATCCGAACCGCTATCCATTACTCTGCGTGTTTCCTCTGGCGCTCTTTGTAATGCGTCTTTAATCATCGCCGCATTTAAAATTGCCACTTGGCTTTTTCCAATGTGAAGGGAGATAACCCATTTGCTATGAGAAGGTGTAATGACACCGTTGTTTTGTAAGTTCAAAAACTCCCGCTTTACTGCCTGGGTTTTCTCTACTGATAAACGTCTAACCTTGGCAAAAGTAGGAGAGTGACTGCCTGTATTAATTCTATGGCATACTCATGCATATGTGCTTGCTGGTTTGGTATGTAGGGATATAAGTTTGGTATATATTTTTATAAAGCCTTTAATGAAATCAAGCATATTGTTATTACTCACGACTAAGTTGATAGAGCCATTGAATATTTTTAGTTTTTTTTTTAACACGTTGTGAGATCGATAATCGTTCTCTATTGGCAATCTATCAATAAACCAAAATTGTTTAGAAAGTAGAATCTTAGTAGATGGATACTGAATGCTAGCTACTACGAAGGAACACAAAAAAGTTCGTCGAAGAGTCCGTAGGCTAATCTTGGCTTTGATTTGGCCGTAGAAGCGTATGTCTGTGCCTGTAGCCGTAGTTAGAGAAACTGGTGTTGGATCCGTTGATAAATTGTTGATGTAACTATGTGAAATGATAGATAAACTAGCACTAGTATCTATTATGAATGAAATGTTTGTCCCCAAAGTTGCTGGTATTTGTAATAATGGCAGACACGGGGAGGAGAATTCGTTGTCCACCCAATTAGTTTCCTGTTTTTATTATATATATTCAATATATATATATATATATATATATACAAACAAATTCCCCCCCGAGTCTGACATTATATATATATATATATATATATATATATATATATATATATATATATATATAGAGAGAGAGAGAGAGAGAGATAGATAGATAGATAGAGATTGGAATTCACCAAATATGTGTGTTATGAAAATGTGTTTTTCGTTGAAGTCACGACTATCAAAATGTGTTGTTTTTTTAAATCGCCAAATATGTTGCGAAGTATGTGAAACATCGACATTATTTAAAGTAAGTTAAATATACGACAACATAAATATCTCAAAAGTTCAAACACAAATGTCTTCGTATAAAATATATATATATATATATATATATATATATATATATATATATATATATATATCAAATTCTTAATAAAAGGTTAGCATGTATCTACTCACAAAAGACGAGGTACCAAAAACAATATTAATTTTGCACTGGTTTGTCACGGGCCTGAAATGTGTATGCCCTATTTTTATAACTTCACGAAGTAAAAAAAGAAAGACTGACTTTCTCGCCTAACGATGTCTCGTATGGGTCTGGTCGGGTCACGTGACTGTTTTTTATTCTCGTGGATATTTATAATTCATTGTTATTTTTGTTTCTGTTTGGGTGATAACTTTTTGTCTATCGCTACAATATGTTTGAATAGATTTAAAGGCCACGATATGATGTCAGATCTACACACACACACACACACACACACACACACACACACACACACACACACACAACATGTAAATATTAAAGTGGCCCGATTGTATGATTAAAAATAA